TCGGTCCGGCAGCAACCCCGTGCAATCCATTTCACCAATAAATATGCCAATGAAAGAAGAAAGAAGTGTCAGAAATATGAGGATAGAAGCAAGGGTGAACCCCAGTAATCGGTCCAGACAGACCCCCCTCGCCTCGTCATAGAAAGTATAGATAGTCCCGTAATCGGTCCGGCAGCACGCTATACAATCTATGACCCTTATACCCGTTAGAAGAAAATACCTGCCCTCTCACTATGCTTTACCCTTTACCATTGTTGACGGCGTCGCAGCGGAGACGGCGGCGGAGATGGCGGCGGAGACGGCGGCGGAAGTCGGCGTACCTTGGCTGGCGGCTGGACTGGTCGGAGCTGGAGTCGGAAGCGGAATCGGAGACGGAATGCCGCTCTCTTGCAGCGCGGCTATATTTATAGCCAAAAATCCTGATACCGGCTTCAACGATCGCGCGCAAGGAGTGTGGGTACGGCGACGATCGCGCGTCGTATCCACTCTACCAGTGCGGACGATACGATGTCACGCGCGCGTCGGGAACTGCAGCGGGTTGCAACCCCTCTCAGAATCTACTCCGGGGTGAGTCTCATAAAATCCGTTTGATTGAACTCGCGCTAATTTTTAACTAATTGAGTGACCGGGATGCACGGAAAATTTAGTAACCCTCGTTACGTGATCACAAAAATGTTTCCAGCTGTATGCAATATCCTCTTTTAACTTAGAAGCGCTTTTTAAATCTGGTACCTTTAAACATTTGTATGGCTCAGAATACACATTTTTAAAAGTGAGCAGTTTTAAAAAGTGCTTTCAAGTTAAAAGATGATGTTGCATACAGCTGTTAGTGTTTATCTTACATTGTAGCAAATTTTCACAAAATTCTATCACTTTTTCAATCAAAAAAATTAATTCTGCATTATAAATTGATGTGCTTTGTTTGAATGAGTTGATTAATCTAAATGTTCAATAGATAAATTTGAAGTTCCGAAACTGTTACAACTATTGAGGGTGTCAACATTTGTGCTTTGTTAATCACTTAACTGATTTTAAAGGGGGTGTGCGCCAAAAAAACAACTTTATCTCAAAAAAAAAGAGAAAAAAAATCTAAGAATAACAGTGAAAACCGCACCCCTTTATGACAAATAATACCGAAGATATGGCTCTATGAAGGTACCGAATCTCACCCTATGACGTCACTAAAGCTCAAGCGACGCACGAGAAAGTGAAGTAAATTGAATTTACATATTTTTTTCCTGTGTCACCTGCAATAATCTAAACAAAAACCACTCACGCGTGCCGGGAACAATCAAATTAACAATGCGGAGCGCGGCTGGACGAAGCTCTCGTGACGTCACACACACTTTAAAGCGGTATATCTCAGCGATGGTTTATCGTATAGTCTGGGAGACGACCGCATTTTTCCTACCCCGATCGAGTTATGTGTCGACACTATTATCAATATATAGTAATATGTGCATCTATTAACCGGTATTCGTGCCTGAGAGCAAATGCTGCCGGAAATATCTTTTAACAAATTATTAACAAATTGAAAAAAACGTAACACTACCCCCATCGAGTTATGTCCTAAGTAGGGTATCAAATTGAAGGTCTCGATGTCCCCTATCTAAAAAGTCGATCCTGCCTCGTGAGAACTTGCCGGAAAAGGGTGGCAGGACAGCTTATTGGGGCAAGGGCCCGCGGTCTCTGCTTTGACACCTATCAAGCTTTGCACTAAATGATGTGTCAAATTAAAGGTGTCAATAATTTGATTTAAGGTCTGTTCGCACAGAAATCACAAACCAGTCGGAGCGAATTTCATTGGTTGGAAACAGTCAGGAAACTAGTTTCAAACAATGAAATTCATTCCTTCTGGTTTGGGATTTCTGTGCGAAGAGACCTTAAATCAACTTATTAACACCTTTAATTTGACACATCATTCAGCGCAAAACTTAATAGGTGTCAAAGCTGAGACCGCGGTCCCTTGCCCCAATAAGCTGCCCTGCCACCCTTTTCCGGCAAGTTCTCACGAGGCAGGATCGACGGGTGGAATGACGCTCTTCTAAAGGGTTACAGTCTAATGTATTTTCTGTATACATGCACGTTACATAATCTGGAAAGTCTTTCGGTTTTTTCTGTCTCTAAGGTCTAATATTTACAGGAATTTTCTCTGGAATTTCGTGTTCAGTTGTATAGTCACTATCACTCGATGAGTCATTCTCTAACAGAGTACTTGGTGTACCAAAAATTACATGTTCTAGCAACAACTTTATTCTGGTTTCCTCCCACTGAAATCGTGATGTCTGTATTTTTGACGAGGTCTGCATTTGGCACTTAATCCTCAAAAACAATGACATCTCTGCTGGTACTAACCAAGCCTGTCTATGGACGAAAAACACGAAATCCTTTCATTTAACCCGGCATTACACGCGCGAAAAAAAATAACGTCGTTACACGCGTTTGGTCAAATCGACCGACTGCCCAAAAGTTCACATAAATTATTAGCTTTTTTCGCGGAAACGGTCCCAAACGTATCCTGAAACCTAAGGCATGACCTACGCAAGTTTTGTTATCAATAGAGACATGAAACTTTCAAATATTACCTGCGGAAGTCATGCCTTAGCGTTCAGGATACGTTACGGACCGTCTCCGCGAAAAAAATGTACAAGCACTATAATTCCTAGAATTCATAAGTATTACAAAGGAAATTATATTATGCAGTACAGTCACCGTATTATCGACAGCCAAAAGTACTCCCAATATCAGAAATTTTGAACACAAATATTTCAGATACTCAGGTTCACGCGCCTAGTCAAAAGCACCGACTATGAAAACAACGAACCCTTCTTCAACCAAAAAGCAATATAGCTTTGGGCCAATGGGTAGTGGAAAACCTGCATCAGGCATTCCTGGATGGACAAAACTCTCACCTTTGTACCAGTGGCGTAAGAACTGATTTTATCAATGGTCGGTCTTTTTGACCGACGCGCGTGTACTCCCGGGTTAATCGCTGTAGCCAATGAAAATATATCGGTTGATGAACCATAGCTGGAAAGCCAAAAATCCTGAAATAGCCTACATCTGGCTTTTTACCATACCATAGTTCTAATGGTGTCCTATTAAATCCCTCAGACATGTCATTTTGTTGTGGCGTATAAGGGTTTGTTTTTTTGTGGATTATTCCATGTAACTTTAAAAAACCATCAAACTGCCTATAAAAAAATTCACCTCCTTGATCCGTTCTATAATTTTAATTCTAGAATTTTGTTGTTTTTCGACTAGATTCTTAAATTTTTCGAAATTTTCAAAAACTTCATCCTCAGTCTCGAGAAAATACACAAAGGACATGCGTGTGGAATACCTTGATCCAGCTATTGATTTGTTCTCGATAGACCCGCAAACGTCTCCATGAATAACCTGTGAAGCGCTTTCAGCTCTGGAGCATTTATTTTTAAATGGTAGCCTTGCCTGTTTGCCCTCACAACAAGTAATACAGTTTGATTTCTCAAATTTACAGGAGTCAGAAAAAGCTATTCCTAGAACCGAACCATTTTTCATTTTCTGAAAATCGTATCTATTAATATGTCCTAGTCTATGGTGCCAAGTGGGTATTTACACTATTTAAAGTTTTAAATTTATACACGCCATTGAAAAATTTATTGAACATTTTACAAAAGTCATTTCCAAAATATACCTGGTTTCTGTTCTTGATCAGAGCACTTACAGACAGAAGATTTGTAGACAGCTGTGAACAGCACAAAACATCCATCACCGTAACATCAAAGACATCATTACCAACAGCAATTTTAATACGAACATCTTCCAAAGCAGCAATAGGAATATTTGAATTGTTTGCCACCATGATAATAGAAGGGGAACCACTTTTTCTTGAGCCACTAGCTGAAAGAGGTTCATCAGCCACTAGATGAGTACTGGCACCAGAATCAATGAAGGCACAAGTCTGATTCACTGAAATCGCCGTTTAAAAACACAACATTTATAATTATTTTGCTGGTTTTTGCCACTATTCTCATTTTAAAACAAAGGACATTTATTGCGGCAATGACTCTTTTGTTTAGATTGATAACACTTAATGTCACTCTTCTTTTCCTGAGATTGTGCTAGAGGAATGTAGAGGGATAGCAACGAGCTATCGAACGATGTGCAGCACAAAGCACAAGGTAGGTTCGTATTTTAAATAAATAAGTTAGGGTAACTGCCCCCTAAGGGGTGAGACAAAGTGACTCAAAAAGTGCCCCATTTTCGTTCCTCTTTCAATTTCCCAATAAGTGTTTGAGATCTTCCTGATAGTATTTTTTGACTAAGAGATATTCCCTATTGCTACTTTTCAAATTGTCACTCTGTATGTATAATATTTAAAATAAAATTCGACTTTCACTTTTGCACATAGAGCTCTGTCAATCCGCATAACAAATATCGTTTCAGGGGAATACTTATGCTCTAGTGCTGATTTTTATTTACCTAACCAAAACGAAGAAAATCTATTATATTTCTTATTTTTGATAAATTGAGACAATTTTCAAATCACACCACTGTTAATAGAAAATACTTCAAAAATGTCATGACAATAATTGTTTTCGTATGTTTGAATTCGACGGAGATAAGATAATGAACTTGCTGTAAGGCCGCAAGCGAGGAAACTTCAAATCAGAACTTGAAATGTTTATACAATGGTGCAAGTTGCTTGATAACGAACATGGTTGAATTTCAATTTTCGACACTATAATTATTATTGAGAAAGACCATAAATAGAAACTGCCTAACTATCACTTTTATCTTTGCTTTTACTAATAATTATTATTATAAGTAGTCATTATATGTATATAATAACCTCGACAGTTGTAAATAAAATTTCATACTTACTAACACTTAAAATTAACCGAACATAGTTTTCTAATAGGAATAAACCGATTTCAAGGTTCAATTACACTGAAGTAAAAGTTGTACCGTAATAAAATATATCACGGTCATAAATCGTATTTTTTTTTTATTTGCAGGATCTCCAACTGCCAGTCCGTTGGACCCTTTTTGGATATTTCAGGAGCTGTTAGCCCTTTTGGTTTTGGAACAAATAATGGCATGGCTCAATATTACATAGATTGGTTAGATAGAAACGAATGTGAGTAATTTATTTCATAATTTATGAATTTATGGTACACAATAAATTTTACAATTTGAAATGACATGACATACCAAGTAGCAATTTAACGTAGACGGGTTGTCCGACAACATTCTCGACTTGACAACAGCAACTTGAGAAGTGAAGTCCGGGGTAATTTTAGCGCTGTTCGCTGAGTTGTGTAAGTTCAGGTTATTTGTTTGACGTCGCGTTGATGGTAATTTTAAGCTTATATCTGCAGTTAGAGATTATCTGTATAAACTTACAAGGAGCGAATACGTTTTATGAATATTATATATCATATGATAATAATTGAAGTTGAACGTGAACAAAATTAGTTTGATTTAAATCGAATTCCAAATTCAAATTTGTTTAATTCTTGAAAAAAGTCTTACGTTGCTCAACCGTCAATATTTATCAAAGTCCAAGGCTAGCATTTTGACGTCGTTTAATCGATTCCCTACACAATTTATTCAGATAGTTGGCAATACTGTTTGACGTAAATTGACAACATAGATATATAATAGAAATATGTAACGACTATATTTATACTTAGGTCGCAAAATTACTACTTGGAAAGTCACAACTATAAAAAGGTGTTTCCTATTGCAAATTTCTAAACAATTATTTTTATTTTTTCAGGTGTCAAAATGAAGCAAAAAAAAAAAAATTATCTGTGATATTAGATTCAATAGGTTTTTGTAAAATATGTAAAAAGAAATAAAAATTAGGTGAAATATAATTTTGTTTTATTTCGGGAATATGTCTTTCTTTCTATATCTAATATACATAACAATCTAATTGGCCCAACAAGATTGACCTTTGAAATCAACTTTTCAAATATTATTTTGAGCTTCTCAACTGGTTCTTTTGAGTAACTTGCATATCATGTCAAATAATTTTGATTTGCTATTCTCTATTTGTTAGGTACTACAATGAAATTCCTTTCGAGAAAACCTGAGGTTGGTCTTAAGTTTTCAATTGAATGGTTCTCAGAAATTACAAGGCTCTTCCCTTATTAGGTACCTCTAATTGATAAAGTAATCATTACATAAGATATAGAAAAAAAAATATGGCTTCTTTTAAAACCCCTCCTAAAATTAGAAAGTTGCCTGTAAATACCTTAATACAATAGGCATTAACAGTAATAAATTCTTCTAGCATAAAACCAAAAGTAAAGATTTATAGTTGAAATAAAACCATAGAATTGATTTAAGTACCAATAGAAAATACACTTGGTTTTAAGGTTTTGCCAGTATTATTTATTGACGACGCACTAAAACTGAGCGCCCCTTGAATTTATCAGATGTATCAAAAATTTTATGACCGATTTTATTTACTGGCGCATCTACTTCTGATGGCTATTTCAAAAACCAGATATATCCATATAAATCCGATCGTTAAATTGCTAATAAGAATCTCAACTTGAAAATTGGTGGTGGATTTTCATAGGTATTGTTAGAGACGTGGATGAACGTATGTTCTAGTTTTCAACCCGAAGTCAGGTAATTACGTCGCAGGCTAAAATTGGCAAAGTTCGTATAGAGTACAGGGTAATTAGCATATTCAAACGAAAAACAAAATATAAAGCTTAAAATTTAATTGAAGGTACATTATGGGTAAATAAATAAAATTTAATAGCCTTGCATCTTGTGCGTGATGGTGGGAAGCCGCCATTGGCCGCCATCTTGGAAGTAATAATAAAAAAAATTAGTTTCGCTAATTTTATTTTATTTTAAAACACAAAACCAATCAAATGAAGTGTCAGAAATGTCCAAAAAATGCTAGGAAGAAACCATGCTTCACGTATTTCGAGCCACCATTTTGCTGGTCTAAAGATATTCGAATTTTTACCTAGCACAAAAGAAAATCGCATATCTGCATATTTTATTGTCAAAATTTAATTAGATTTAATAAAATAGTTTTCTTCTTTCCTGGAATTCGGTCGTGCATTAAAACAAATCATTTCTGTGACGTTTCGGTATTTTTATTATCATATTCAGACATACAATTATAAAATAGATCTTATCTATATAATTATCTCTAAAACTTTTTTTTTTTTTTTCCTAACAAAAATCAAAGCGAGTAAAATGACAAAGTACAAAATACAAAGACAATATTACAGGAACATTACACAATTTAATTTAACGGAAACTACTAAAACAATACGAAGGAACTTTATTTGTGTTTAAAATTTAATTTAAAATGCTAGCAAAATTAGTTTGGGATGTTACCTGCTTTTTAATTTCCCATTTAGTCAATTTTTAATTCCTATTCCTTATTTTTTTTTTTTTTTTTTCCTGCAATCTTATTCAAAATTCAAAGCAGCACTGATATATATCGTGTAGGTTGGTTGAAATTTTCGTTTATTATCAGTAAGGATAGATTTTTTTCAATTATTATTATTGCCGCATTCCTTTCTTTACATGGTGTTTATTTATTCATGTATACAAGGGGAGCACAATTTATTATGTTTTTAGTTTTGTTTTAATTAGATTTTGGTAAATATCACTTAAATTTTCTGTATCAGATCTAAAATTTATGGCGTTTGGATGTTTTTGAATTTGGATCATTTCCTGAATTCTTCTCTTGTGATAATTACTTTCCTTTGTCAGTATTTTTGCATTTTCGAAGTCGAAATTATGTAGGTTTTGGTGTGCGTGGTGTGTTAGTGCTGTTTTGTTATCATTGTCTTGTCTCAGGCCATATTTATGTTCGTATAATCTTTTTTTAAAATATTGTTTTGTTTGTCCTACGTATGTTTTATCGCAATCTGCACAATCAATTTTGTAAACTATATTTGGTGTGTCCATTTTGTTTATTTCAGGTTTCAATTTTGTAAATATTTTTTCACTGGATAGGTTCTTTGTTGACTTTTCGGCAATTTGAATGTTGTGAGGTTTTAAAATTTTTTCTTTTTTTTATTTATTTCCGGAATGTAAGGAAGGGATATGTATTTAATATTATTTTCAACTTTTTGATAAGATGTTGGGTTATATATTTTATTAATTCTGTTCTTGATTATAGGTTCATAATAGTTATTTATGTATCAAGGGTACTAAGTAGATGATTATGCCCTGAGGGCGACAGTCTTACAAAGCCGAGGGCCTCTGGCCCGAGGGTTCGTAAGTCGCCCGAGGGTATATTATCTATTAGTACCCGTGGTGCATACAAACTTTTATGTCATACCAGTTGGTTGTGAATAATAAATACCTAGGAAAAAGTGTCACTTCGCAAATTGTCATCAGTGTGCAAACATCATAATTTTTTGACAAAAATAATATGTTTATAAGCGTAAATTTATATTTTGTTAATAAAGAATAAGTTAATTGAAAACTGTTTTTTGCGTCTTTATGCCCGCGCGGGCCATAATGTGTACTTTATGCCCGCGCGGGCCATAATGTGTACTTTATGCCCGCACGGGCATAAAGTAATGAATTATGTAGATGGTATCCAAGGTATAAAAACACAATAATGTATTGGTATGACATAAAAATTTTTTGGATAACTATTTTTATTTAAAATTTCTCGAATTTTTAATAAATTTTGAGGTCTATATTCAGGATCTGATAGAATGATAGCTCGATCAGTCAGTGCTCTTACTACGCTTTTTTATATTTTTGAGGGGCATATGAGTTGTAATTCAGGTATCTGCCTGACCATATATTTTTTGTATACCAATTTGTTTTGACTTTATTGTTATCTGTGTAATTGATTGTTAGATCTAAAAAATGTATTGTTTTATCTTGATCCATTTCAATGGTAAATTTTAATGTTTTGTGAAATTTGTTAAATTGATCAAGGGTATATTGAATTTAATTTTCTGGTAAACACATAATGCAGTCGTCCACAAATCGTTTGAAAAATATGGGTTGATATTTTAATTTTTCTATAACTGTTTCTTCAAGGCATTCCATTACTAGGTTTGCTATTGTTGCAGATGTTGGGGACCCCATTGCTACACCATAAATTTGTGAGTAGAATTTATTTTCGGATTGAAAATATGTGGATTTGAGACATAGTTCCGTGGCTTCGATGAAGTCATTTTGGGGTATTGTTGTGTGCTTTTTAATTTCTTCCCATTTTTTTTTATACATTCAATTGCATAATCAATTGGAATGTTAGTATACAAACAGACTAAATCCAGTGAAATTAATCGGTGGTTTTTTGGTATTGTTATATTTTTTATAAATTTTTGGAAATCCCATGAATCTTTAATATAATAGTTTGATTTACCCAAAACATTTTTTATTATTTTAGAAAGGTGTTTAGATAATTGATACGTTGGTGCATTTACGTTACTGACAATAGGTCTAAGTGGTATGTTAGGTTTATGAATTTTTGGTAGGCCATATATATGAGGTGCTTGGCCATTATAACAGCATAATTTATTTTTTAATTCTTCATCAATAAGTTTATTTTTAAGCCATGAGTTTACCATTTTATTAATTTTTGTTTGTATGATTGATGTTAAGTTATCTTTTTCCTGTTTATATATAGTTGAAAGAATATTCATTTCCCTGGATCATTGTTAATTTGGTTTTTTCATGGGTTATGGGAATAAGGAGTAAAGAAAACCACTTATCTTATGGCGACGTTTCGTATAATATATATACTTTTTCAAGCCCTGAAAGAGCAACAGGACACAATTGTAAAACCAAATAAATTTTTATAAGACAATAAAGAAACTTACTTAGAAATCGGTTAAGCAACTCCAGACCAATGTTAGTGTTGGTGAATTCAGGCATGTAGACATCCTTGGTGTTATTAATTACCCAATTGGTTTTATTATATGGTGATTGGAATTAAAAATCATCAAATCAGCCAATCTAGCAAATCAATTATTATAATAAGTAAATATCAATTGCAATGTGAGGTTATGTTAGAATTTTGTCAGCAGTTAATATAAGGAGGTTTCAAGCGTTCGACCGGTCGACAACCCTCAACAGATAAACAACGAACCACATACATTACCAATT